TTGGCTTTAAGGCTATAAATCCATATTTATCTCAAATATACTACATAAAAGACCAAATAAGAAGTGGAATAGAAGAGTTTCAATAAAAAAAGCTAGCATGCACTTGATTATACTAGATGAGTATAATTTCAACATAATAGAGATGATTTAGAGTTCTAAGAGACATATTGTCAAGACTAAGGATCCTCTCAACTTTGACTCTAATATATACTAAGTATTAAGAAGCTTCTTGAGAAGTTCTTATGCTGCATGAACAATCTTAAGATTCTTCTTTGAGAACTTCTTTAATCTTTCTAGAACTTTCTAAAATCTACTAAAATATTTTAAAAATCTTCTCAAACTTCTATTAAATACCTTAAGATAAATATTATTTTAAATAAGTATATTAATAATCAAATAAATTTTATTTGAAGCATCTTTTTAAATTTTTATAATTTTTTTTGAAATGATAAAATTTTATCATTATAAATATTTTAATATCATAATTTAAAAGTATATAATATTTTTAATTACCAAATTAAATTAAAACGTATTAGAATCATAAAATATTTAAGACTCATATATTATTTAAAGAATTTTATCAAAAAATATTTTTTATATTAATTTTAGTAAATTATATGAAACTATAGTATTTAATAGGTTCTTAGAAAATTTAATTTAATATATGATAGTTTTTTATATTAGCATTATTATTTAGGATGTATAAATGTATTAGAAAGTATTTTCTAATTTTTCTTATAAGATTAATACTTAAATTTTATAAAAATATAAAAAATAGATATTATTTTAAAAAATATATAGTTTTTTATTTTTATTTAATATTTAAATAATAGAAAAAAATGTTTTAAGAAACCATTTGATAAGAAATAGAATAGACATTGTAATTTAAATTGAATTTCAAATAGAATCAAGATAATTTTATATCTACTAATATAAGGAGTCATATAAATAATTATTTATGCCAATTGATATTATTCTATTTTTTGATACAAATAGATTGCATAATTGAAGTTAATATATTTATATATTACCATTTTATAGGTAGCACAAGCATTAATCTATTTTTATTTTATATTTCTAAGTGTATAATTTTTTTTGTAATCATAACATCTTTTTATTAATGAAGCCAAAAAAACGAGTTTCAAATAAAATAGGATGTGATACCAAAACAAATCATTACACAAATTCCTTAAAATAGTTAGAAAATATTAAAATAGGTTTGAATATTAATTTATTTTATATTATTTAGAATAAATTGCATGGTTCAAAATATCACTATAAACATTGAATTATAAATATATTTGATGATGTTTTTTAATTATATTAATATTTTTGAAAATTTTATATTAATATACATATTATTATTCTCATATTACAATTTACCAAGAAGTATTAATAGATTCTTGTAATTTGTGAATCTTTTTTGAAAGAAAGTGTTGTTTCTTTATAAAAACTATAGGGCATATTGTAACACATTTTATATATTTTTACATCAGAAATTATTAATTTTGTATATTAATTTTTTTTATATTTTAATTAATTGATTGTAACAAACTTGCCTTATTTTTTATTTGTAGTATTTGAGGATTTGACTTAGTAAAAGTAGAATATAAGTATAATTAAACCAATAATATTCAAAAACATTATAATTATTCATAAAAAATATTAATTATTGATAAAATTTATTTAATTTGGCAAATTTTTGTACATCTTTATTTTCTTACTTGTACTTTTATTTTTATGTAATGTTGTCATAAACCTATTACAAAAGTAAAACAACATTCATTATTCTTATAGATATAAATTTAAAAATAATTTAAGAACTTTTAAGATTTTTTTAAAAAATAAATACTTAAATTTAGAATTTTAAAAAATAAAAATTTAAAACTATTTTTTAATAAAATTATTTAATAACTTGATTACAATATTTTATTATGAAGCTTCATACAACCTTTATTTAGTATTTTTGGTGGCAAGCTACTAATTGCTTAGACATCAAGATTCTACTTTTACAAATAGTATAATAAAAAAAAATTACAGACATTTTAGTATTATTAAGTCTTCATTTGAATTTATTTTTTATAATTTATATATTTACTAGAAAATATCCATGCCATTAGACATAGCAATCTTTGGCACATTCATCTATTTTCTTTTTTTTTTATCTATGCTCCTTCATTTCCATGTTCCTATATGCTTTTGTTCCTATATTTCCTTGTTTCCATGTTCCTTTATCTACATATTCCTTGGTTCCTATGTTCTCTAAGTTCTTTGTATTTCCTTTCTTATATCCAATCAAAAAACCTCTTTGATTCTATGTGTTATATCTAAATTACCTTATATAATAGAAGATAGTTTTTGAATATATATATATATATATATATATATATATATGTGTGTGTGTGTGTGTGGGTGTGTTTGTGATTATGTTTGTTGCTTTTTATTATTATAAAATTTATATTTTAAGATTAACTATTCATATTTGTAGAATATATTTATACAACAAGACAAACACAAAGTATCCAAAAAAATCCTTAAATTAATTAAATTATAAACACTAAGCCATTTTTATTGCCTTAATATAATATCAATTTATATATCTATATATATATATATATATATATATTTATAATATCTAATATATGATTTTATAATAAATAAATATTTTTTTAAATACTAAAAATAATAAAATTTTGTATTTAAAATTTGTCTTTATTATGGATCCATTTCGACCATGCATTAAAAAATATATTACAACATAATGTGAAATATTGTTGTGTTATGTGAACACTAAGTAAGGAATGTACAAGGCTTCTTGTTGTAGAAAGTAAATTGTATTTGCAACAAACAAAGTATCTAACAATCTTGATAAAAATTTAAACAAATCTTAATTAAATCTTAATAATTATAGTAAAATCTTAATCAAATCCTAAAGAATTATATAGAAATTATATGTTATTTTAAAAAATTGACATACTAAGATTATGTGAAAATAATTTAATAAAAAAATTAATATTATTTTCACATAATCTTAGTATGTCAGTTTTTATATTAAATTTTTTTTATCAAAAACACATGTAACTAATAACAAACATATCTTTGAGTATTTAAGTTCTTATTGGATCTCCTTTATATTTTGAAAAAAAAAATTATAAAAAGTTGTACATGCATCAAGCTAAATACACCATATTCTTTTAAGTCCATTTTTATGGTTGTGCATGGCATCTAAGAAAAAAAGTTGAAATAAATAATTTAATAAAAAAATTGCATTCAAAGCTTTGATAAAGCAAGAATGATGTTTATATTAAAGTGTGTACCAATAAAAGAATTTAGAATTTAGAATTCCACAATATCACATGTCTACTTTCTGTTTGTTTTTGAACAACATTGAATAGGAAAGATAAACACACAACACACACATACATATATATATATATATATATATATATACCACACATGCATTTCAATGCATTAAGAGATGACAAAAGAAGAAGTAATGTCAAAGAGTGAATTCACAAGGAAAATGTTGTGCACCAATTACATACTGGAGAATTTGGGAGAGATTGACAACATCAGAACTTGAAAGTAGTGAAACAAAATGAAAGCATTGATTGATTGTTGTTTTTGTTTGTTTTGTTTAGTTATGACTGTAGAGACCCAGCCGTAGATTCAAACACACACTGATCCTCTCAAGCGTGAGCTGTACTCTTGACAACATAACTGTCTCCCTGGGAACCTGGTTCCAAAAAGGGACAAAGAGAATGCACAACTCCCCCCCCTCCCTAATTACTATAATTCTCCACTAAATGCACATACAGTATAGTTAGAAACACATGCCAAAACTTGTCAACCAATCCAGCCTCACATTTCACCATTGTGCATAGCAACAGAAATGTGGGGGGGGCAAATGTGGAACCATGACAGTTGTCATTTGGTAGATGAAAAGCGCGTAATAATAATACTGATAATACAAATACTAACTATAACAATACTAATAATTACTAACAAATACTAATAATAATAGGAAGGAGGGAGGAAAGGAAGGTGTGGGGGAGCTTTATATGATACAACCCAACAGAATAGTACCGTGTGTTGTACAAGGGGGGAGGAGAAGTGTTATCCAAGGGATGCTGACGTGGAGGGTGACTTGGCAGGAACATGAGGGGGGTAATGACGCAGTGGCACCCAAGGGGAGGGAGGGAGCCAGTGCAACCAGGCACGCGGGTGCAGTACAAGGCCCCCCCTTCTTTCCCTTCCCTTGTACTTGTACTACTACTACTACCGGAATGAGGCATAGTTCTGGCTCCCTCACGTTCTCCTCATGTACTTCTGCTGGCCCTGGGGAGTGCTGGAGTAGTAGTAGTATTAGTAGTAGTACTACGAAAAGAAGGAGAGCAAGGAAGGAAGGAAGGAACTCGCGTGGTCGTCACCCAGCCCGTGCTTACCACACCCAGGCAGACACCCAGCGACATCATCATCGGTCATCATCCTGGATTGGGGGATATTTATTATTATTCCCACCCCTGTCTCGCTGCCGGCGTTCGAAGGTTCTATGGCTCTTACCGCGAATTGAATCCCCCTCCCTTTCTCTCTCTCTTGCTCACCTGGATTTTCCTCTCGCTGGGCCGCGTGAGCCGGCCTTCGTATTTCGGGAATCCTCGCAATCAACTGTTCCTGGTCCTCAGTTTCTCGTCGCGAGGACTCTCGTTATCGGGGCGGAGTTGGGGGTTTGATTGACTCGGTGTGTGCGGTTGTGTCTGGGGCAGTGCTGCGTATGGTCCCTCCCCCCCCCGGCCTTTTGAAGTATCACCCCTGCCATCCATCTCCATGTTCAAGAAATGACGGACGTGAAATCCTTTGAGGCGATTCGGACACGCGAGTAGGTTGCGGAGCAATCTTGTTTTTCACTTTGAGCCAAGGTCTTTGATTGAGTTTTGTGTGATTTTTATCCGAGCGTCGAAATTTTGGTGATTTTTGTAGTGTGGTGGTGGTGGTGGTGGTGGTGGTTTTTTTTTTCCCGTAGTAGTGTAGGGTTTCAGATCAGGATAATGGAATCATCGATAGATTCGAGTTGTGCCTCTGTAGAGTAAGTGTGATCTAGTTTGCGTGAGCAATTACTGAATGGCAGATAGGGTTTTCTGTATCGAGTGTCCAGAATGCTTCGGTTAAGGAAATTTATTTTCTGTTGTTAGCGTATACCTTACTCTTTAGCTATGAGGTGAGATCCTTTGAGGGAACAATTATTTTATTTTATTTAGTTTTGATTTTGTTGTTGTTGTAGTGCGTAACTTGATTTGAGCGTTGGTGAGGTGGTGGGTATAAGGTTGGATTGTGTTTGTGAATCTGGAGAAGTTATAACTGGAGCTTGTTCCTGAACCTCCTCTGCATGTGTGTTCTCGCAGATCCTTGATCTAGTGCTATTGCGAGAGGCGAGGATGATCGGTCGTGGTTTTCGTTTACAACACTGATTAGGAGGAATTGTGATTCTTAAAATCAATTCAGAGATTTTGTTGTCTGCAAAATGGCGACAGCCAAGCATGTGCAGCTCACAACTGTGGATCTTGACGCAAATTTATTGGTATCGAAAGGTAGCATCGAAAATTTGCCTCTACTGAATAAGGTTGGCAGCAATAGCTTTAGTTTAAGTGATGCTTCGCTTCAAGTGGCAGAAACGAAGAAGAGGTTAGAGGTGAGTGTGATAGGGATGACATGCGCAGCATGTTCCAGTTCTGTTGAGAATGCGTTGGGACTATTGAAAGGAGTAGAATCTGCGACGGTGGCTTTGCTACAAAACCGAGCTGTAGTAGTGTATGATTCCGCTATTGTTAATGAGGATGATATCAAAGAAGCCATTGAAGACGCAGGGTTCGATGCAGAAATTTTGACAAGCACACCAATTTTTTCGATTCAATCTAAAGCCGATGCCCCGGTCGCAAACATTGTTGGCCAGTTCCGAATCCAAGGCATGACATGTGCTAATTGTGTGAATTCCGTCGAGAGTGTTCTGACCGGCTTGAAAGGAGTTGTTCGCGCATCCGTTGCTCTTGTGACTGAAACAGGGGAGGTAGAGTATGATCCGAGGCTCATCAACCGGGAAGATATTATAGAAGCAATCGAAGATGCAGGGTTTGACGCGACGTTGATGGAAAGTGGCCAGAGAGATACAATCAAGTTTGATGTAGTAGGAATGTTCTCTGCTATGGAGAAGGCTAGCGTGGAATCAATATTGCGCTCCTTGGAAGGTATAAAAGAAATTAAGGTTGATCCTCTGACAGAAAATGTCGAAGTCTCGATCGATCCTGAGGTTATCGGATTGCGTGCTATTGTGGGCGCGGTTGAAGCCACCGGCGATTATAAGGTCATTCTTTCCAATCAGTATACGACACAATCTTCCGAGAATATTAACGAGGTCGGGCGTATGTTCCAGTTATTTCTTTGGAGCTGTTTGTTCAGTATCCCGGTGGTATTTATTGGTGTGATATGTCCTCACATCTGGGCTATGCAGCTCCTTCTTCTCGTTAAGTGTGGCCCCTTTTTACTTTCGGATTGGCTGAAGTGGGCGCTTGTTACACCAGTTCAGTTTGTCTTGGGGTCCCGGTTCTATGTCGGAGCTTACAAGTCATTGCGTCGGAAGTCGGCCAATATGGATGTGCTTGTGGCTTTGGGCACGACTGCTGCGTATGTGTATTCTGTCTGTGCCTTGTTTTACGGGGCGGCCACTGGAATGCAGCTGCCGACGTACTTCGAGACAAGTGCTATGCTCATAACTTTTGTGCTTTTAGGAAAGTATTTGGAAGTGCTTGCGAAGGGCAAAACCTCGGAGGCTATCGGGAAACTTTTGCAGCTTGCACCCACGACTGCGGTGCTTCTCACTTTTGATTCGTCTGGCAAGGTGATCGCTGAGAATGAGATCGATGCTCAGTTGATTCAGAGAGGCGATGTGCTGAAAGTTTTGCCGGGGGCAAAAGTGCCGGCGGATGGGGCTTGCACATGGGGGGAGAGCCATGTGAACGAGAGCATGATTACCGGTGAGGCGGCACCGGTTGCCAAAGGAGTTGGTGACGCTTTGATTGGTGGGACCATGAATTCTAACGGTGTTCTGCACATTCGTGCAATGCGGGTTGGTCGTGACACTGCTCTTGCGCAAATTGTGAACCTCGTAGAGACCGCACAGATGTCCAAAGCTCCGATTCAAAAGTTTGCGGATTATGTAGCTAGTGTTTTTGTTCCGGTGGTGGTTTCGCTGGCTGCTCTCACGTTTGTGGTGTGGTTTGTTGCTGGCGAATGTGGAGCGTATCCTGACTCCTGGCTTCCCACCGATGGCAATCATTTTGTGCTGGCGCTCATGTTCGCCATATCAGTGACTGTCATAGCCTGTCCTTGTGCTCTTGGGCTTGCGACGCCAACTGCCGTCATGGTTGCCACTGGAATTGGAGCGAACCACGGAATTTTGATTAAGGGGGGCGATGCTTTGGAGCGTGCTTGCCTAGTCCAATGTGTTGTTTTTGACAAGACGGGCACGTTGACAAAGGGCAAGCCCTTAGTAACACACCAGACGGTGAAGATCTTCAGCAAGACCCCCCTGGCTCAATTTCTCACCATAGTTGCTTCCGCAGAGGCAGGCAGTGAGCATCCATTGGCAAAAGCATTAGTGGACTATGCTCACAACCATTTAGTGTTCACTGAGCCACTGACGCCGAGATCAGCAGATATGCCTAAAAATAGAGATTTGAGTTGGATGAAGGAAGCATCAGGATTTGAAAACATGCCTGGTGAGGGCGTGCGTTGCACGGTTGATGGAATATCCGTATTGATTGGCAACCGGAACCTGATGCGAAAGTTCGGAGTTAACCTCTCCGAGGAGGTGGAAAGCTACTTGCAACAAACCGAGGACCGAGCTGGCACGGGAATTCTTGTTGCGTTTGACGGCACTATTGCTGGTGTTATGGGCATTTCAGACCCTTTGAAGCCAGAGGCAGCCCTCGTGGTGGAGGGACTTCAGCGCATGGGCATTCGATGCATCATGGTGACTGGAGACAACCGGAGCACTGCGAGGTCAGTTGCACACATGGTGGGGATTGACGAAGTGTTTGCTGAAGTGCTCCCAGGTGGGAAAGCTGATATGATAAACCAGCTTCAGTCTGATGGCACTGTTGTAGCCATGGTCGGCGACGGTGTGAATGACTCTCCAGCTCTTGCGGCCGCAGATGTTGGCATTGCGATTGGAGCAGGCACAGACATTGCCATCGAGGCAGCTGATTACGTGTTGATGCGAAACAGTTTGGAGGATGTCATTACAGCAATAGATTTGTCGAGAAAAACTTTTTCTCGGATTAGATTGAATTACACATTCGCAATGGGGTACAATGTGCTAGCAATTCCTGTTGCTGCGGGAGTGTTCTTTCCTTGGTTTGGGCTCAGCCTACCTCCCTGGGCTGCCGGTGCTGCCATGGCATCCTCGTCAGTTTCAGTTGTTTGTTCCTCCCTTTGGTTGAGGAATTACATAAGACCTCGGCTTACTGAGTTGTTGCAGGTCAAGGTTCAGCGATAGTAGCGATAGTTGCTGTTCCCTTATATGTCCATTCATGTCTATTCATTCTTTTTTGTAAGATATCAATTGCATTAGTACCAAAGTCCTGCTGTTTAGTCAGTCTGAACTCTGCATGTGTAGTACAGTGTTTTTTAAAAAATGAATACCATAGAGTAATGATAAGGTAGTATTATAATGGAATAAGTAAGAAAACATGGATGTTTTAAGCATGATGTTTTTTTTTGGAATAAAAAAATATTTTTAAAAATTACCTCAACATAAAATGAATAAAATTTCACTGTGAATAAATAAAACATATGAGTGTTTATTTGTTAAAATAACGCTTGAAATAATTTCAAAAACAAAAAAATATTAAAATATAAGTGTTGCACCAGTATTATTATAGTAGGTTGAGAGAGAAGGATAAGAAAAGAACATATAGAAACCAACAATTACTTGATTGTCTTTTCTAATATTGTATTGTATAGTTAACCTAAAGCATCTTAAAACAAGTCTTAAAATTAATGCATTTTATACATCTCAATAAACTTAAGTCTCATGTTGAAAATAGTCTTGATTAGTTGATGGTTATTAATGACAACATATCAATATTAGAGAATTAACATTAATTGAATAATAGCATATTCTTCATCTAAGAAAAATTTGAAAGTTTCAAAATTATTGTGTTATTATATGGCCTTTACTTAGCTTTGCTTTAAATCCAAATTAACTTTGATAAAAAAAAATAGACAAAACATGAACTTGAAAAAAAAAAAATGGCATTTTATGATAAATTTGGCAACAAGGGATTATTGTCAAGAAATCGACAATAAAATATGAAAGTATAAAAATAGTTTGGAGGATAAAATGCTTAACAAATATATAATCATATATCCATCTCTATTAGATTAGCATACAAAGAATCCTTATGTTGATGTGATGTGTGATTTATGACAACAATACGATGTACAATAAGGTAGTAAACTAGAGAAGCAAAAATGCTAAAAGTATTTGAATGTAAATAAGACAGATATCAATAAGCAAAACAGAAGCACACATTATTGGAGGAACACTTAAAGATCAAGATCCAATTGAGAAGTTTTACAAAATCTTGTTTTTATTTATTTATTTATTTGTTTATTTGTTGTTTTTTGTTTTTGTTTTTGTTTTTGTTTTTGTTTTGTTTTGTTTTGTGTTTTTAACTACAATTATAAAATATTATATAGCATAGTTTACATCAATGCAATTGGGGTTTAGAAGTAGCACCATGGTGACTATTGTAACACCTATAAGATCATCATTATAGACAAAAGTGTCTAGGGCTATTTGTACCATGTCTTATCCTTTTGGCATCAAATTATGTCTAATCCTATCAGTGGATATTCTAACTAGTATAAATCAAGATGCCAAAGCCCTTTCTAAAGTAACTCTTATTGACTTCACTTCTACCAAGCACCCATTCCATATTGAAATTTAAGATTGGATAAATATCAACCTTATTGAATCTATAATGAAGGTTACATGCATTCAAATGCTCTAGTATGGATACTTTGTACTAACATTCAAAATTAATATTGGTGCCAACAAAGTCTTATAATGCAGCTTCTTGAACTTTGGCTCATATCTTCTTTATTTTTATCCTTGGAGATTGTAGTTCAACTCCATAGCTTCTAAAGAAATGCAACATCTATTATAGATCAAATTTCTCAAGTTGAAGAATATATTTCATATAGCATTACTTAATATTTATACATCAATTAGTAATATGGTCTAGATGAGCAAATATGAAGATTACTTCAACAAATCTTCCACCTTCAAGATATGTGTCTTTGTATGTGATGTCAAGCTCATATCTTCCTCGATAATACTACCTATCTTCATGATCAATGACAAGGTAGAAATTACCTTGGAATAAAAGAAGATCTTATGTTAATACAACCATTATCTAAAATTAGAATATGATATAGTAGATGCTTGATGAAAAAAAAGAAAAAAGAAAAAAACAAACAAACAAACAATACAAAAAAAAAAAAAAATGATCAAATTGAGATAAGTCATCTAACTCACAAACTAGAAAGTCATTGAAAAGGTGATGTAATATTAAACTAGAATGGCTATTGCCAAAAATAAAAAGACTAGAAAGTCTTGAAATAAGATTAAGGACTAGAAAGGCATTAATAAGAGTGAAGAAGGCTTCACTCTTGCCTCCATATATACTCTTAACTAGGAGCTACGTGGCAATGTCTTATAGGACCTCCAAAACGTTTTGACTTTCTTAGCCACATATCTTAATTTGCAAGGCAAGTTATCTATATATGCACAACATAGTTAGTTTTTTTCATAAGCTATTACATGGAGTTAACTTGTTCCACAAGCTACCAACACGTGGTTAACTTGTTGGCGAAGTTTCTAATCTACAAACACATCTAAGGTCAAAATTGTGTCTTTGAAGCTTCTAAGAAGATATTTTAGAAGACTTTATGAAATTAATCTATATTTACCTACTTCTACCTAATTATATAAGTAACTATTGGCATAAATATATATGTTTGTGACATTAACTTATATATAGGTAGCTCCAATTGCCTAGAAATAAAAATTATACTCTTATTTCTTTCAAAGGATCTATATTCTTTGCAAATAATAAATAAAGATAGAAAATTGATCAAAAATTATTCTACTATTCCACTTATTGGTTTTTTTTCTTAAAAGAAAAGACTTTTAGCATCTAGTATCATATATGAAACTATCTGACTATATTCAATCTACCAAATATACTATAATAAGAAAAAAAAATATATAGATTTGGCCTATTATCTACACTATAATTTACCAAAAAAAAAAAAAAAAAAAAAAAAACCTTAATTCCATTCAAAAAGAATCCTAAGGCATCCAATTCATTCTATCTATAAATATATTATACACATACAAAAACATTCGAGCAATCTACTAGAGGCATTTACAAATGGCAATGTTCATCAATATAGAATCTAGCATCAAATGTATCACACTTTCGCCATGGAAGTTGATATAATGGATCGATCAATAGAAAAACATGCGAAACAATACCTCTCTATGCCATGTCCTTGTAATAATGGAAATGCAATTCAAATATATATATATATATATATATATATATATATATATATATTTTAATGAAGCCACCTATCACTAGATAGAAGTAGTGATTTTGAAGTATCGATATATGTTGTTCTCGTTGTGTTCAAGCTTGAGTATATCAAAGCAATTGAACTAATAGAGGTGGGTTCGAACACGGGAAAAGACTAGTTATATGAATTAGATCTGTTAGTGTCACAATTGACTGTATTCAAGCTATCTGAAATCAATTATCAAACTACAAAACACCAAGGCTTACTACTTCCATCTTAATTCAACACATAATCCATTCTATCACTATCAATTCAACAATACTTACATATTCTTATCCGTTCATATCCCACTTACTCTCTTTGTGGTTTATATATATTCAATTACTGATCTCTTGCTTACCTATTGTATTCAGTTTTTCAATTCATCACATAGAATTCAATATCTCAGCTTATGACTCTTACAGTTTGGTACTATAGACTAACTTCTCAGTATTCAGAAACTATCCATTACTCATCAACAACAAAGAAACAAAAAGAGGTAGCACCAAGCTTGCCCCGACTTACGACTTTCACAGTCTGGTCCCGATCTCCCTTTCCTCAACCTCTTTATCCTACCAAAAGATGGATTGTTGGCCAGCAGATTCCAAAGGTTATGACCCTTTAAATACTTAAACATTTATTCCACTAACAACCTATTGTTATCAACTAAACTACCTATCCATCAGTTTAATTCTCAAAGTTATCAATAACTAATCAATAACTTACCACAAAGTTTATTTACCTATTCTACATAGCCTCACTCCTAATTGTGGAGTGTCCTCCCAAACATTATTTAGCCTCAACTTATAAAGACATAGCAGTGTTGGCTTCTTCAGACAATGGCGTTGACTTACCACCCTTGGAATCGGTGACCTTTTCTTGTTTACATCTTTGTAAAGATCGATGGTTCTCCATCCAAACGTGTCGTCAGATCTTCATTCAACAAATCCAATTCTCGTACTTGAGACTCACATCGAGCAATTTGGTTGTCGCGCTACTCCAACATCTTCTACCATTCTTCTGTCGATTTCAAAGGTATCTCCAAAGGTGTTGTAGCTGAAACTGGCATTTTATTCCTCACTAAATTATTGGCCTCCTTTGCTAATGCGGCTAATTTAGTCTGCAACATCGCAACCTCTACCTACACCCGTTCTTGCGGTTCCTTCCAATCAGTCTCCATCATTGCTTTCTCAGACACTATGTTTGCCATGTTCTCCTTTTTTGCCATCCACTTCTCCTTAACCACAAAAGAAAACACGATGCTTGTTGAGAGCTCCTCTCCTACTTCTTACTATGATCTAATCAATTGGGTCGACTCCCCCTTATTTTCCACTATTCGTCATGATGAAATACCATATCATCATCATTATTTATCCCCCCCCCCTTCTTGTTGGAACAGAAAACCCGTCTCGGGTTTATGTATAGTAAAGTTTAAGCTGATTGCCATTGATCCATGTTATAAATTTAGTACCCATAAAATCTTCCAATTGCATAGAACCATTTGAAAATCTGTCAATAACTCGATATGGCCCATGCCATCGAACTTGAAATTTTTTTAGAAAATTATTAAATCGACTATCTTAAAGAAGTATCAAATCATTTGGCATAAAAGCCTTTGGTCTAAGCTTACTATCATAATAAGTCTTCCTTCATTTTTGTGTAGTTTCCATGATCATTAATGCATTGACTCTAGTTTCATCCAATTTTTCCAATTCTTCTAAACGGTGTCGTAATGAATCCTGATCTCTCAATCTAGTATCTATAGCAATTCGTAAATTTTGGACTTCCAATTCAATAGGTAATATTGCTTTCTGGCCATAAATCAATTGGAAAGAGGGTAGCATTGGTAGTAACTTTATACGCAATATGGTATGCCCATAAAGCTGCAAACAACTTAGTGTCCCAATTTGTTTCCGCTATTGAAATTATTTTTGTTAAGATTTTACATAAAATTCTATTAATCTTTTCCAT